TTTAAAAGAAACTTTTTTTGAGATGTCTAGAATTGCATGAATTTATTTTACAGGATTGTCGCTCAGCTCTGAGTGCTTTCCAGTTTCTGGATGATGATTGTGGTAACATAGGCGAATCACTTCAACCAGCTGCCGCATCAGGTTTTCTACTGCTGTTTTTGATTTGTTTTTCTCATTTGATCGCGATAATTAAATTAAAATACACAGTTATTACTACGGTTCATTAAAGCTCATACTGCATTATCGAAACATTTTAGCAATCATAATGGGTATTGAGGCTAGTTCTGGAACGTTTCCGAATGAATGAATAATATTCCATGGTACTAGATTTTTCATTTTTGCAGCATTCTCAGCTCTGGATTTTTCGATGCGTTCTGAGCAGATAGATATGATCCGAGATTGGCTAAGCCCGGCGAAAACAAGCGATGCGAATTTCAGAATTGAATGTACTGTTGTAAGGGATTTGCTCGATTCGGAAATCGATTATGTCAGTGCGTTAAGGCTTGTGGTTCAAGTATGTTTTCCTGCTTCATCTATTTTTGATTTATGCAGCCAAAATATTCAAGTTGGTCAACGATATTTTCAATAGCTTTTTCAAATGGATTTGAATTTCCTACACCAGTAAAAAAATTGAGAAACTTGAAAGTCGTCAAATTAACTTGTTAATGCCATTGTGAATGTTAGTAGAAATTTATCTCTCATTTATAGTCCAAAATTTGTTTAATATTAATGTCAATTATAAATTCACTGATAGGTGATTATTGCAGTGTCCTCTCATTATTAGATGCGGGTTATATTGATAGGTTGCCAGGACTATAATATGTTCCAGGATTTCATGCCGGAAATGGCTCGAGTTGATATCCCGAGTGCGCTTCGTGGCAAGAAGTCATGTATTTTTGGAAATATTGAAAAGCTTTTCCACTTTCATGCTCATTCATTTTTGCCTCAGCTTATCTCACGGTTAAGGTGAATTATTCTTTTCCTTAAAAGTGTTGCATAAATGTTGGTCATATTGTTAATGGCGTAATGGTATTTTGGAACTTTAGGAAATACTTAAATGTTCATTTTTGTAGGTTTCGTTGTGCTGATGAATCAGTTTCAATGACAACTGGACGATTGTTTCTGGACAATCTTAGCTATTTCGAATTGTATGCACTGTACGCAAAAAATAAATTGAAATCTGATCAATTAATGCGCGAGGCTGGTCATAAATTTTTTAGCTCTGTACAGGTTGGTAAGATGATTGTTTTTATTATTAGCTTTCACCAGTTTTTGAATTCATTTTCAATTTTGTTTTTTCTTAAACGGATTTCGAAGAATTATTTTTCCTTATTCTTCACCTTAAATGTGTTGTACAAATGTTGCTCAAATGTTGCATTTTTTATTTCTTGAAGTATTGTCTTTAAATGCTTTATTCCTATTTTTGTTTAAATAAAACTTTGCAGAGCATGGCCGACTTATCACATTTATTGATTAAACCGATTGAAAGGATAAGTAAATATGCGCTTGCACTTCAGCAACTTCTCAATGCTGCACCACCAAATAAAGTGGTTGGCCATCTTCTTGACAATTCTTGGCTTTGTATATTTTTTATGAAAATTTTTGTATGTTCCTAATTTTTGTTATGCAAATATTCAAAGTTTTGATTTAGTTTCATATTGAAGCCAAGCTTCCATTCCAGGAAGTTTTGGAGGTGTTGGAAAAAGTAGCTATGGTAGTCGGACAGCAGATTCGTCGTGGTAATGATCTGTTAGCAATGGAGCGAATAATTAGTTGCGATTTGAATCTCAAGGAACAAGGAAATTTGTTACGGCATGACACGATGTATGTCACTGAGAAACGTGGTTTACAGTCTAAAAAACGCGTACGAAATGTATTCCTGTTCGAGAATTGTGTTGTCCTTACAAAGCCAAAATTATCACGATCGTGGAGAGGAAGTACATTTGATGAGTTGAAATATAAAAGCAGCATACAGGTATTTTAATTTTGTCAACCCGTTTAGTTTTCTGTTGTTGGATCGAAAATCTTTATCTCGTCATTTTCAAATCTCAATTTAATTTTCTTGTTCAATTTTTTTTGCAGGTCCATAATATTTTAATACTTTAATTAGGGAATAGGAAATTAAGTATCTAGTATCATAGGAATTTTTGTGCTTCTGATCCACAGCCAGTGTCAAGTGATGTTCTAAACCGATATATATGTTAACTAAATTTGGTGACCGAAGTTTTTGCAGCTTTTATTAATTTTCCAGTATTTTCGCATATGTGAGAAAATGATTGGGGATCAATTATCAGTTTTGTGACTCGGTAGCAAATTTGATGAAGTAAATAAATTTATTGAGATACAACTATTTCATTTTAGATGACTGATTGCGGTTTGACAGAAATGGTGAAAGATTCGAAGGTTAAATTTGAATTATGGTTCCGGAAGCACAAAAACTCATTTACATACATAATGGAGGTGAAACCTTATCAATTTTTTTTTAATTTATTTACTTCCTCAATTTCTTGCAGATCTTTTTTCATAGTTTTAGATTACTCTGCAACAAAAATTTTAGTTTTTCACAAATTTTTTTTCTATGAAATACATAGAATGCAGTTGCTTAGTTTCGCATATTCCAGTCACAAACAGCAAGCATTCGTGATGCTTGGGTTGAAGATATCCGTAATATTCTTTGGGACCAAGCTATTCGAAGTCGTGAGAAGAATATTCGCGAAAAGGCAAATATGGGCATTGAGTTACATTCTTCGTATATTCATTTAGGGCCACGTGCTACGGTTAGTAATACATGTTACTGTAAATTGAAATGGTAGACTATGATGAAATGATTGAGGTGTATCGGGCGCTGAACCGGTTAATCTAAGTATCAAGGACTGAAAAACCCAATTGATCTTGTAAAGCGCTTGTTCACATTCATTAGAAGTCGAAATATGCCTGTCCGACAAAATATTTTGTGTGGAATTTGGCTTAGTTATATTTATTCCATACTTTTAGTGTTACTTTTAATTGCTGTTATCAAAAAAAAGGATATGCCATAGCTTATTGAATTTCGCAAGATTGGTATCGTCGTAGCGTTCAAAATATATTGAACAAGATCTTTCGTCACTTTTTTCTTTTCCTATTACAGCTCAGTGGTGGATTCCGTGACTTTGGTTATGTGGAAGGTACTCGGCGGCCATGCTCACTGATATCGTTAACAGCTTCATCGTGCTCAAGCTCGAATAATTTGGGACGAGTACAAGGCAATTTCCTTTACCTACTGCTAAGAATTTTATGCGTATTCAGTGGAAGCAGATCAAAAGCACGTTGTGCATTATTGCATTCATAGATCGCTTCGCTGTCTCCTAAACTTTCAGGATCTGTTGAGACATTTAGATCAGACTCTATGGCACTCGAACCCCGTCTTTGTACAGAGAATTTTAGAGAGAATAGAAAAGTTTAAAAAAATAGGGAGTTTTTTCTCCTGCATAAGGAGAAATCAGCTTAGTTAGGTTTTCTTTGGTTGTTTTGTAATCAGACTTTTGTATTCTAGAAAAATTGAATTTTAGCAGGAAGAGGTACATGCGAAGTCGGTGGTGATCTTTGTCGGGTGGAAGAAAGTGACGAATGGGAAAGTATGCACGAATCCAGTCCAACTGTCAAGTATGCTGAAAGCACACTTCCGCGTTTCCGAGCTCCACCACCGCCAAGCCTGAATCAGTAATAAGAGTGTCAACAAGTGATTCATTCAAAACTAATTGTTTTGACATTGGTGTTGTAATTACTTTATTATATCGACTCTATGTATGCATAGTGATATTATTTTATTTTTCTGTTATATTTCCGGCTGTTATAAGAAATCTAACCATTTAGACAGTCGTTTCCGATCCTTTTCGCTTTGTAAAGCTGCATACATGTGTGCGTGTCATCATATCATGCTCGTTACCTAATATTAGGTTATAGTTCTATCACGGAATCAAATACTGCATAAACTTTAAAAGCATCTCTCCGACATATAGTCGTCGAATAAAAGTTTTCATTATTTTATTTAAAAAAATTATAGCTTGACTGCAATTTGATAAATACACATACCAATTCCTATTCCGGGTTTATCAATTTTTCTTTTTGAAAATTGGGTAGGAACATCGGAATTTGCTGAAAAAGCAGTAATTTGTTTACTTCATCGGTCTCTTTCGTGTAAACGATTATTGCAGATGGGCCTTCTATGCTTTTCTCGCTCTGCTTAATTCAGTTGTTTTGCTTTCTTATTTCCTACGAGTGATCGGTACTCTGTATAAAAGATACTGTAAGTAATTTCCTGAGTAAATAAATACTGATGAGTTTTAGAAATAAGTGCGTAATCTAGGCTGATCTTCACGTGACTTTGTAAAGGTGTAGAAAGATGCAATGCTAGGTGACAATCTAGCTTGGATAGAGGTTGAATTAGTAATTTATGAATTCTTGATAATATTTGCTTTCAAGCAGTCATTCACAGTGTCACTAAGTGGCGAAAGGCAGTAAATGAGAAGAATCATACTAGTGGGAGTGAAGAAAAGAATCAAAGTCAATGTCGCGATGAACAATGTAATTTTCTCAGGTAAATTCCAATCCTCACGATTTTGTTTACGAGTGGCTTTTCTCCAATCAACTGATAATATACAAGAATGGTTTGGAACCAAGACAAATACATGAATAAAATGAGATCACAATAGATGACTTGTCCATTGATAAATTATAATAAAGTATATGAAACATGAAAGGACCTCTTGAATGCTCTTCACTTCCTCGCGCCTATCTGTACGTTCCTTCGCCAGAGAAAATCAGCTAATTTTTATAAAAAGCAAAGGAACGAAATAGTTCCTCAAGATTGCCTTTAAAAATGTGTGAGGTCAACAATTTTGGTTATGGAACGAGGAAATGATGGAGATAGATTTACCATGTTCGACATGATACAAAATTGATTCAACCAATCTAAATCTATAAATATATACAAAAGTGATGTTTGTTTCCAGTAACAATGGCTATGATGATGGAGGAAGTTGGACTTGGAACTGCTGTATGTTGCCTTCCGGTAAATTCAATGCAATTAATTGGATAGGTTGATTATTCGTACCTATGGGTAGCTGTATTGGCTGTCCAATTTGAGTAGCTTGTACAACTGAGCCTGTTGCCAATCCTCCGTCTGAAGATCCAACCTAAACAGAAATTACCAATTATTTCAATGAAATAGTGATGGTGTAATAACCATTTTTACATAAGAATTTAGACCAATTCAGGTTCCCAAACTTCACATAAATTTTAAAACACGATTTCCTTTCATAAAAATATTACATGGAACTGTTGCTGCAAGAAGTTAGAACAAATCTAATATAATAAGCGAAGAAAAGTACTTCTCAAATACCTGTAAAACATATTGAACATTCCCATTAGCACTGCTGGCATCTGTAACTGTTGCTTGTACTTCTTCAGACTGTTCTTGCTGTAACATGAAAGAATTATAATGAGACAAAAGGATGATTTATTTTCAATCTTTGTACACCAAAAAATCGACAATTATCTTATAAATCTCAAGATATCCAAATGTCTGTAAACCCTATCCGCAATGGAACTCTCGTTCAATTCGAAAATTTTAGGAACTCTTTAAAAATTAAGATTCCATCTGCTATTAGTGAGTGATTAGAGATAGAGCTATAGATTGCTGTTGAATTCCCTTCGTCAACTACGTAAATTATTTGTATTTGCCAATGACGCAGTCAATAAATTGACAGAGGTATTAAAGTTGCAACCCCATTTAGAACTACTGGGAAGAAACTTTGCAATAATTCGTATTTATCATGTTTTTTTTTTTTTAAATCTCTACTTCATCATAACATGTAAAACAAGACTAGAAGAGTTCGAAACTTCATTGTCTCAGAATTATGTGGTAAACTAAACGATACATATGGAAATGATCAGTAAATCATTGATAATAAACTGCAGGGAACAAAGAAAAAATAATCTACATGATTGTTGTTCTGTGATGGCCATCTTGGATCTTCTCGTGGAACGATGTCAATCAAGAAATCGAACATATCATTCCTGCAAATAAATATTATCTCAACGAATTTGAAAAATAGAAAATTAAATTATTAATTATATATAATATGGTTTTTAATTATATGCTCTTAAAATATGCGAATTCCATACTGTGCAATAACGTGAACAAGCGGAAAAAGTTACTCAAGGAAGAAAAATTGCACCAAAGAAATAAAACAGAGGTGTTACCTGGCTACAGCTTGAGAAATATCTGATTTCTGCAGTGTTTTTCGCTTATTATCTTCTGTATGTTTCCAAGCACTTAATGTCAATTCCTCAACAAAGATTTCTGATGCTTTCGCAAGTAAAATGGGCGTTTCTGAACCAATCATCTGAAGAAATATGACAAAATTGAGTCAATCTACGAATTAATCATTGATTATTATGTTACCTTCCACTTAAATTCTGTCACTGGAATTTCATGGTTATGCGAATGATGTGGTAAATACTGATGAAATAGAAAATCATAACAAACAGAGCTTATGTTGCTTTTTTTTCTGTTCACTACCAAATAATATTTGAAAGTAAAAAATATGACTGTTGAACTTGTACAAAATATTTATAAAAATTGAAATACGATTAAATCTGAAGTTTTAGTTCACTGTTACGAAAGGTCAGAAGCAGAAAGAAGTAAGCAAACTTGCCATTCGTTTGACATCATCATCCAATTTCATGATTTTCTTTATTCTTGCCAAAGGTAATTGCAATTCTTGATGGCGGCTTGCTTCACGCAATGTTTTCTGCAAAAATATCGCAGTTGACAATGCATTAAAATTTGAAGATATCCAGTTCTTAAAAATTAAATGCATATTTCATCCTTATTTTGATTCACATAGCTTTTCTCTATAAATTTCCGAGAAAATATAATTAAATTTCAGCAGTGCTTCTAAATCAGCAGTTTTTTTTAAACATCATGGAGCAAATCTCTAAGAATTGTGAAGCAAAAAATTAAAGATTCCGAAACAAAATATCAAACGATATTTTTCTAAAAATGAACTGACTGGATCAATTGCTTCAATTCTTGAACGAATACGAGGCCAGAAGGAAGCAATTTCCTTATCTATATCATACACACCACCTTCTTTTCCAAACTGTAGTTCATCATTTCCTTGCTCCTGAGAAGAAAAACATGTGTTAAAGAGTAGTGAGATTCAAATATAGCATGTCAATACAAGGCAGAATCAGTACAGATCTCATCAATACAAATACTTTAAAAGTTACTCTTCTGCTAGCTAAACAGATAAAAGGCTTACTCGTTCTCTGTGATGTCACATACTACAATGAGTGATAAACGATGTAACTAATAGGGACGTAAAAAAAATTGATAATGAAGGGAAAAACCTGCGAAGTTGATTGCTCAGCTGGGACGAAATGTGACTTATCATCCTCCATTATTTTCCGCATAAATAATTCATCATCAGTAACTTGAGGTTGCTGATGATGTTCGCCATTTACTGTTGTCATTGATGCCAAATAAATGGCAATTTTTGCCTCCTGAAAAGCATTAAATATTACAGACAGAAATTTTCTTAATATGTATAAAAGCTAATTGCTTCTTATCATTACATTATAATGAAAATTGGAAGTAATTGTATCAATATTTCTGCTTAAATTATCCTTTCCAGAAACATTTATACATAGATAATTTATTGCACTCTTTAGCCAATTAACAATAAATCAAATCATCTCTCCAAATTCTCTACTATAATACATTGTTTTAATTGATAAGTGAAAGCAATGTAAAATAAATTGAACTATTCTTGAGTCAAATAAAATATACCACGAAAAGAAAAAAATCGTTTAAAGTACACGATAAAATTTATGAGTATATTTGGAGATGATAATTAACACCTTGTATAGGAACCGGAAGTGAGAGAGTATGGGTAGTTTACCTGAAATAAACATGGGAAGATCGAATGATGTAGCAAACCATCCAGTTAATACTATTCGTAACAGTTATAGCAGACTACAGTAGTCATGTTTTCGTTGTAAGATTTATTAAGCAATTTTTATGATTGGAAATATGAAAGTAATTTGAGATAATATCATCAAATATTTATCCAATTTCAGCAGGCTATAAATATGTCATATAGCTAATGAGATATTGATTATTACATTGAATAGAATGGAATAGGATTATCTAGGTAGATAGTAAAGAATGCTTTAGGCTTATAGATTTAAGCTCCCTGAGAAAATAAGGCTTAAGCTTTCTCACAAAGTTATTACATCAACCATTCATCTATTTATCCACAATTACCACTGCTAACTCTTTTTATTAATTGAAAAAAAAAATATATGTGACAGATTTTAAAATCGGAAAATGGCAAATTGAAAGTTAAGGAACAAAAAGGTGAGAAAACATAAAATGTTAATTAAAACTAAATGTATATAACTTCCTTTGTTTGAAATAATATAAAGGTAAGTAAATGAATTTACCACCTTCCTTCTTTTTTTATTTCAATTAGCAATTCAATCAATCATTCAATCAATCAATACTTTCATAATATATCCATCATATAGATTACATATGTTTTATCTATTTTTGTTTTTGAAATTACATTTTTCTCTCATATTCAAAACAAATGATAATTGTAATTAATCATTGATTTGTGCATTCAGTAGAGGTAATCATCCGAATGATAAATAGTTATTATCATATCAATTTTCTCTTTATTTCATTATTTATAATTTCGTTGCATAATTTTTTATACATGCAACAATTCTGCTCAATGAATAAATGATGATACGGGTAATTTGTCTTCTCTTAAAATTAGAAATTTCTTAAGTACTAGCGCATACTTCAAAGTAACTACTATTAGCGATTAGCTAAATTACCTTTGTAAACATTAGTTCTTATACTTCGTATACTTTGTTTTAGCCGTCTTTTTTCCTCTTCCATTCTTTTTCCTCCTGAAATTAGACTTTTTTTCTTATTCAATTATTTTTGCTAATGAGAGCAATTAAAACTTTTCCTTCTTTCCATTATTTTCGATTTTATGTGATTCTAATTAACTATTTTATAATGTGATTGAAGCAAATTTTGACAATCAAAATATTTTCACTGTTCTTTTCTATTAGCATCATTGCTATCATCATTATCATCATCATCATCATCCTTACCATTGTCTTCATCGTCATCATCATCATTATCATCGTCATCATTATCATCATCATCATCGTCGTCATCATCATTACCATCGTAATCATTGCCTTTATTATTATTATTATTATCATTATTATCATCATCAATATCTTTATCATTGTCATCATAATTATTATCTTCACCATTATCATCATCATCACTATCATTATCATATCAATATCTTCATCATTATCATCATCGTTAGTATCATTATTACCACCATCATCAATCATCATCATCATCAATCATCATCATCATCATCATCATCATCATAATCATCACTATCATCATCTATTCTCTTTACCATCATCATATTCATCACTATCAACATCTATTTATGCTAGTGAATTAATTCTCTTTACTTTATTATGAATTATTTTTATTTTTCAAATCTCTTAAACTACTATATCATAAACCATTTGATATTAATTAAATTACAATCGAGCGTTTTTTTTTTTTTCAAATTCAAATCAATAACATTGTTTTCTTTTCCGTTGAAATAATGCAATAATGATTGTTCATCGTATGGTATTGATCGTCAAATCAATTAACGAGAAATGATTGGTTGGTTGGTTGGTTGGTTGTAAGGAAGAAATTGTTTTCATGACATTGAAATTTTCGCATTCCTATTGAAAAAGAAAATGTATTTTATTTTTCGATAAAAAATTTTTCCAGTTATGGTGATCAATCGAGCAATTTTTGCTTTCCGTTAGTTGTTAATTCATCTCTCTCTCTCTCTCTCTCTCTCTCTCTCTCTCTCTCTCAACCAATCATTATTTATAACTGTCATTTTCGTTTTTTTTTTTTTTTTTAAATCAATAGAAGAAAAATAAGAAATTGAAGTAATCATTTAGTAATTAACAATTCCAATTATTAATTTACAAGAAATAGGCTAATTTTATTAGATGCTAATGATTTCAGGTGTTTTACTTCTTTATATACCTTTTTGTTTGATAGTAATAAATTTTTTCATTTCATACGTAATGCAATATATATATATATATATATTAAGAGAATAGAATATTACAAATATGTTTCTGTTTGTATGTATCATTTAACTCTTTAATATAAGTAAATGAATTTTAATCCCGTATATTAATTTTACTATAAGTAAATGAATTTTAATTTCGTATATTAATTTCACTATAAGTATATGAATTTTAATTTCGTATATTAATTTCACTATAAGTAAATGAATTTTAATTCCGTATATTAATTTCACTATAAGTAAATGAATTTTAATTCCGTATATTAATTTTACTATAAGTAAATAAATTTTAATTTCGTATATTAATTTCACTATAAGTAAATAAATTTTAATTTCGTATATTAATTTTACTATAAGTAAATGAATTTTAATTCCGTATATTAATTTTACTATAAGTGAATGAATTGTAATTCTATAAACTAATTTTACTATAAGTAACTGAATTTTAATTCCGTATACTAATTTTACTATAAGTAAATGAATTTTAATTCCATATATGTAAGTAAGATATAATGTTAACTTAAAGGATAACGAAAGGGTAAGAAAAATTTTAATTGTTGAAATAAAAGCTTATTATTTTTTTTTATTGTTTTATAATTGAATAGATTTTATATTGGTCGAAAATTTCCTACATGATTTTATTTCGAAAATTTAGTTAGAATATTATCATCCTTATTTGTTCAGGAAAAAAGATTTAATTATACTTTCAAATATTCTTATACATTCGTTTTATCATTGCAATATTTTCTAGAATTATAGCTATTCTTAAAGCGGTAGCATTATTTATTATTAATTACCTTATTGCATTATTAATTACCTTATTTATTGGTATAGCAAATTTTAAGCACATGTTAACTGCTAAAAGTATAATTCTTGAATTTGTCATGTTTTACATCTTATATTTTACTTCTCTCTCGTTGTCAATTTATTGCTATTGTTTAATCATTTAGTTGAAAATAAAATATTGCCCAGCATTTTGAAGATAATAATGCATTATTCATCAAGATACACATTTAAATCCTGATTAAAAAATTTTTAAATCCTTATGCAGTCATTGTCAATAATACATGTTAACTTTGATAATTTATTTATCGGAAATATTTGATATAACTAAACTCTTTTCACTTCAACTATATAAAATGAAATGATATATTTTCTTATGCAGACAAATTCGAATTTGCTCTAGGGAATTATTGTTTTAAGAAAGATGAAAATTGAATGTGATTCATTCTTTCTATTTTTTTTCCATCATTTTTTACCATTCTATGTTAACTAATTTTTGCAGGTTATTTAAGGTGTAATAATAATAAAATTAAATGGATTAATAGGTTGAAAAATCACGCTTACTAAGTTCTTTGTTTTCTTCACCTTATTCTTTCATTTCATTTATATCGGATATGGTTGTTGTTGCTGTTGTTGTTGTTGTTGTTGTTGCTGTTGTTGTATGTTGTTGCTGTTAATAAAAAGTTAAAAAATTATTGAAATAAGCATTTATATATTAATATATCAGGTTTACATTACTATCAATCTCTCTACATCTCTGTCCTTTATTAGCTTATTTATATATGCTTCGTATGTTTATAGGTCAATTTCGAAATTTTCAAAAATTTTTAACATCATTTTACTAATTACGTTAATGCATGATGCTTAATGCAAAGTCATTTAATTTTCTCCAAATGCTATTATTCCATTTTCATTTTCATATAGTCATCAATAATCTAATCCCTATGAGAATTAATTCAATCTGTAGCTGATGATGAAACACTTTTACAGCAACAAATTTTCTCTCACTTTCAAATCATCAAATATTATACTATAATATTGAAAATTATGATTTCAATTTTTTTTCAAATTAAAATTCAAATGAAATATCTTTATCGTTTTGCATCATATATTTTCGAAAAATTTTTAAAATCCTAAAATGAAAATTTAACTTTCGATGACGATTTGCTACATTATCTCCACTTTCAAGTTTCTAATTTTAAATATTTGTTTGTGAATCAGCCCGATTACAACATGTGATAATATTTATAGCAATTTGGAAAGAGAGAGAGAGAGAAGAAAGTAAGAAAGAGAAAAGGAAGTTTCATCACCTATCAAAATATTCTTTGGCATTTTATTACAGCATATTTCCCTTGTGACACAATTTCTCATCTCTCTGTCAATTTTTATACTTTCTAACTTCCTAACCTTAATTATTTCATGATTATCCATCTCAATTCCTATTACTTGCTATATAAATAAATGAAACTTTAAACATAAACTTTAAAATAAATCACACAGAGATAGAGAGAGAGAGATTACATAGATTTTAAAATTAACAAATTATTTCAT